CGCTCACTGGCTGAGCGAGGCGTGGGAGCGAGGCGTGGGAGCAACGCCGAGGGTTGCGATCCCGTTGCTGGTCCCGGTCTGGTACGGGGGCTACACTGAGGGTTGCGATCCGTTGCCAGACACGGAAAAAAAAAAAAAAAAAAAAAAAAAAAAAAAAGTTGGGTCATAAAAAAATGGAGTGTGCTGTTTCTTATTTAGATGGTAATGTAAATGGGATGATGATTTTGAGGGATAATGTAAGAGAATTGAACCATTTGGTAGGAATTGTAACTGTGTGACCTAAGAGGCCTTCCCGTTCCAGGATTCTGTAAAAATGGCTGAGTTGCTTTAGCCTCTCAGTGGTGTCATTAGGTTCTTCTAAGCTCCAAAGTGCTAAGGGTTTGTGGAAAAACACTGTCAAACAGACGAAAGAGCATCAAGTCAGCTGAATTCTTTGGTCCTGCACCTCACTATCTATATAATATTGGTATTAAACTAAATGATCTCCAAAATAATTTCTAGTAGAAAACTTCTGTGACTTGGTGGGTAAACATGACATAAAATTCTAGAACTAGTTTATTTAAAACTTAGATTAAAGAATACTTGAAAAAGACACTGCTGAGAAATCTTTTTATTTGTTGAAAGGCCATCTTGGTGGGTTTTTTTACCTTTGATTTTTGAAATAGTTGTTCTTAAGTAAAACATTATTATATAATGAAGGACTCAACTAGCTAAAGTAACCGTGCTGATAAACTGGATCTGTCCTTTTTTTGGTATGAAGAAGAGGCACTGTGGTTATTGTCCTGTGGGATGCTGGTGAAGTTTCATGTGAGGTTTTTATTGTTGAAGGTTACCAGGGTTGCTTTAGCCGTGCTTGTATTATTAAAGTGGAGTTGACATCCTTTTCTATAGAAGAGGTGAAATGGACATTTGTGACCTGAAATGAGTTTCTGTTATTTTACTTGTTCTATTGAATACAATTGTGAGTATATATGGATTAGGTACTCAATAAATATTAGTGATATTAGTTAAAAGAATGAATTCTATGTAACCTGTTTCCCTCTTTTCTGTACTTCTAGCCTCACATGCATAAGCCAGATAAGGCTTCCAGAGGTTAGCTACTCACAATATGAAAAGGGTCAAACTGAATTATTGTTGACAGTATAAAGAACAGATGTTGTCATAAAATAAGGAAAAGAGAAAAACTGGTCAATGACTAATAACACTATGGTATTTTGTGAAGTCTGTGTGTATAGAAATAGCAATGGAAATTTTTTGCAAAACAACCCATGTAATCCTGGTCTGAAATGTGTGCTTTTGTATTATGTGTATATGCGGTCTAGTATTTAGTCATCATTTAAAATTATACAGTGATTAGTAACTTTTAAGGAATTTTTAAACTTCCTCTATTGGTATATAAGATGTAAACTGTGGTCATTAAAATTCCTATCAGGATTTTTATAGCTTACATTGAAATTTAACCTCAAATAAGAACTCTGTTTCAGGTTATTAAATTATAACATCACTGTTTGAGCTTTATTGCTAAATGTAAATGGAGGAACTTCTATGAATGCAGTGAGGGAGCTCCAGTGCAGATCGCTAACCAAAGCAGGGCTTTATTATTACCAAGAGATGAACAGGCCGTATTTTGAATATTTGTATATGAAACCATATGTTTTAATCCTTTTAAAAATGATAAAACAAGGAAAGGGGCTTTTTTAAACAAAAGGCAAGTTCTTTAAAAAATTTTTTAGGGCCGGCCCGGTGGCGCACTGGATAAGTGCGCCGCATGGGAAGCGCGGCGGCGCTCCCACCCGAGGGCTCGGATCCCACATACAGACCGGTTCCCGCTCACTGGCTGAGCGAGGCGCGGGAGCAGCACCGAGGGTTGCGATCCCGTTGCCGGTCCCCGGTCTGGTACGGGGGCAACACTGAGGGTTGCGATCCGTTGCCGGACACGGAAAAAGACAAAAGACAAAAGACAAAAAAAAAAAAAAATTAAAAAATTTATTATGAATATTCATGAGATACAAAGCTGATTGTTCCCCCCAAGGCAAGTTCTGCTGTATGGTTTTACCATTTTAAAGGCAAATTCATTTTTCTGCAAGTATTTATTGAGCACCTACTCTGTGCCAGGCACAGTTGTAGACAGTAGGGATAAAGCAGCAAACAAAACAGCCTGAAATCCTGTCCATGGGGAACTTCCGTTCTAGTTGGGAAGAAAGACAAAAAACAAATACATCATGCAGCAGATTAGGTTATAGGAACTATGGGGAAGGAATGTCAGGAAAGGAAATAGAGAATGCAGACTAGGATGGGGCTGTGAGGCGGGAGGGTACGGTTTGAAATGGGGTGCTCAGGAAGGGTGTCTCTGGTGGGGGGGTCGGGGGAGTAGGGCCTTGTAGTTCATTGTAATGACTTTGGCCTTTGCTCTGAGGTGGAGAATCACTGGAAGATTTTATACCCGGGAGTGACTAACATGTATTTTTTAGTGAAAAGAAGGCATGACTATTTTAATCAACCATATTTTGTTTAGAATTAGGCAAAAAGAGTTTTATATCTGTAGTACTTAGAAATTGCTTTAATTTTTTTTTAATCCAATAAATACTAAGTGTGGATTATGTGTAAGAATTTGCCTTGGGCACTAGGGAGATGTAAAGCTAAATGAAATATGGTGCTTTCTCTCAGAATTAATCTAATGGGAGATTTCTGAAGTGTAAATGAAAATGTGAGTCATACAGTTGTTCAAGAATAAGGATTATTTCATTGCCCCAAATTTAACGAGCTGCTCAGCTGTGCCAGGCACTGCGCCAGATGCCAGGAGAACCAGCACTGCATGTTCTCCCCTGCTTTGGGTTGTGCCCAGTCTGGGCAGAGGGCTGGAAGAGTGAGTTTACCACTGACCAGTGTGGTAGTGGCCCCACTGGGCTGTGCACACAACTCTGCTGCCCTGTCCCTGCCGTGCTCCTCACTGGACTGCAAGCCAGGTGTGTCTTATGCATCTCCATATCCCGAGTCTTGATGCCACACCTGCGTTTAGGTGTTTACTAGCTGGGGTTTTCCCTGTTCTAGTGTCTGCTACATTCTTCTCCATACCAGTTGGTGCTGCTATTATTGATCACATTTGCTGTGTATGTGTTTTTGTTTTTGTTTTTTTTTGGTTTTTTTTTTCCTTTTTGTCTTTTTTACTGACCGGTAACAGGATCGCAACCCTCGGTGTCGCGCACCGGCAATGGGATCACAACCCTCGGTGTTGCGCCCACACCGCGCTCAGCCAGTGAGCGGGAACCGGTCTCCACATGGGATCCGAACCCTCGACGGGAGCGCCACTGCACTCCCAAGCAGCGCACGCTCCAGTGCGCCACCGGGCTGGCCCTGTTTTGTTTTTAATAGTAAATTGAGAGGACAGTGAATGATTTTCTATTACATGGTGTCTATCAAAGATGAGAAAATGCACAAGAGGCCAGGAGGTTCCTGTGTTTCCACAAAAATGGCAGCAAGGTCATTTCGTTGTAGAAGTGAAAAATAGTTCTTGCATTTTTCTTATGTTAATGAAGTAATTCTTTGTACTGATGCCATTTCCCCCAAAATGAAAAATAGACTGAGTAATTAAGCCAAGTGTTTAATGAAAAATGGGTGCAAATGTGTGCCCAAACCATTCTGCTCAGTCGTGTCACCTGCCTCGTACTTGCAGGAATATGAGTTTGCAATCCTGGGATGAGTTCCTTGGGGTTAGGGACTCCTTCTTACTCATAGCTGAGATGTAGCCCTCGTGCCTGACATCTGCTGTGACATGGTTAGTGCCCAGTTGGTTCACTGATTCACTGGAACAGTGAAACTGATGTAGCTTTGGGGGCAAAGAAGAGAGCTATTAACTGCCAGGAGGAGTCAGAGAAAACTTCTGTGAGGAGTTGAGCAGTGTCATACAACATGAGTTTCATAAGCAGGAAAGTGGGAAGGATATTTAGATCAAAAGAATAACCTGTGTTGGTGTATAGTCAAAGGAGCCTAATAAGACCAGGGAGCAGCATGCATGCGTGTATGTGCATGCATGAGAGAGAGCGGGGGAGAGCTTTGTGTGTGATAGGCTGGAAATGGCCAAGGGAGAGGAGGACAGTGGTAGGAAACTATAGTGATAAGACAGTTCCTTGTTATATCATGCTAATATTTAAATTTTATCTTTGGATACTGGGAGCCTGTCAGTGAAAGGGTTTAAAGCAGGGGAGTGACATGATCAGAGTTGTGTTTTGGGAAGAAAATACTGTTAAAAGTGTTAATGGATTAGAGAGAAGCAAGACTCTAGGTAGAAAGACACGCGACTTTTGAATAGATGGAAGTTGAAAGTATCAAACTGAGTTACAGAGCCAGGGTGAGGAATAGACAGGCAGTTTTAGGACTCACTTTATTTTCTTGTTTGAAGTCATAGAAGGGGTTGAGATTGTACAAGGAGAGACTAGAGCAAGAAGAAAAGACTACAGTGGAACCCTGGAGAGGGTAGGAGAGTGGTATGAGAAGTCACTGGGAAACCAGCAAGAAACAGGAGTTAACATGAAAGGAGGAGGGAATTTGAGGAAGGGAGGGCAGGAGTGGTAAGCAGTGTCAAGCGCTGTAGACTGTCTGAGATGAGGCTTCTGGATTTGACCATGAAGAATTCTAATGTTGCTTTTGGTTTGTCTAGTCTCTTTCATTAGATTTTAAGTTATTCATGGGAGGAAAATGTAGCATCCACTTTAAATTTTCTCACAGCGCCTCAATTAATTAATCACAAAAAAGATGCCGGATCACTTTTTGACAGTGATTTTGGGAGGGTCAACAAGGATAGGAGTTTTCATAAAGTATTATATATAAGTACAAATTATTTTAGACATGATGCATGTTTAGAAACTAACTTGTGTATCTGAAGCCATGCTTTCAGACTGGAATAAAATTATAAGCAGTGTTACTTCAAATATACATCTGCCATTGGTATTTTAAATTCAATATTATACTATAGTGATTTTTTTTTTTATTTGTTTGCATAGCCTGGCACCTGTGTTTGCTCTGTTTGTACCATTTTACTGCTCCATACCAAGAGTCCAAGTGGCACAAATTCTGGGCCCGTTATCCATCACAAACAAGACATTGATTTATATATTGGGACTACAGGTACAGTATACATTTTTATGTTCACGTTTTTTAACTAGATCTTTTTTTTTTCTTCTTCTTCTTTTTTTTTTTTTTTTGGTCTTTTTCTCATTTGATCTCCTTGAAAACAATGTTTTTTTTTTTCCCCCCATAAGTATGGCTTCATGATCTATATCAAATGTTCAAAGGAAGTGTTACAGAGGATGAACATCAAGGTATAGAGGTACTAGAATACTTTCATAGCCTTTAGAAATCTGATAAGAGCTTTCACTGTAATTCGTATCAGTGGAAAATATTTTCACTTCATTGTACAATTCCGTATAAGTACCTTTCTAAAATCATTGTATGAAGTGGAAACAAATGAGAATAGTCAAAAGGTGGGAAGTGGAAAATTGGCGTCAAAATTAATTTATTGAACCACAGTGTCACAAAAAGCTCTGAAGAAGAAATCCCATATGCTTTACCAACCTGAGCTTTGGGTTTTTTGAGAAGCATTATCAACTTTATTACTTCTGTATTTGTGTAGATATAATGGTAGTGTCACCATTTCCTAAATGGTTTGCTTTGAAGACCCCTAGGGCACTTACTGTTTGACCTAAATTTGAAAAGGTTATTTTCACCAATATTCAATGAGTGTTCATTGCTCTCTGCTGGGTCCCAGGCCCTGCGACAGAAGGCACATCTGATTTTCCGTTTTCTCTCTGTACTGCTTGTCACTCTTCTTTTACTCCCACAGCTTTTGATGTGCAGTTTTCTTCTATGGCTTCCTGTGGTGCCATGTGTAGCTTGGCCTTTTGATCCACTGGTAGATACTCATAACATTCCTTATCCCACGCATGTCAAACCGGATACTAGTGTCATGTTAGAAGGCCTTTCTCCCTCCCCTTTTAACCTTTATCATTTCCTCTTCTCTAGTCTGCCATCACGTGCTATCAGTGGCTCATCTGGGGCGGTTCCTTACCACTTTTACAACCGTTTCTCATGAAATATGTTTATTTTTCTCCTCTCAACCCCCACACCATTGCTCTCCCCCTCATCCTACCTAATATTCATATAACCAAATATCTCGCTTCTGCACTTGATTCTTATGGCCAGGATTTGCTTTAGCAAGTTTGGTTTTTCTAAAGCTGTTATGACAGAGGCAGTATGAACGATGAAGAGCACCATGGACCTGGCTTAGGAGACCCAAGTTCTAGTCCTAGCATGGCCGTCACTGGCCACGAGACTGGGTCAAGTTCCTGTTCTAGCGTGGCTTTCACTGGCCATGAGACTGGGTCACGGTCTAGTCCTGATGTGGCCCTCACTGGCTGTGGAGAATTGGGTCAAGTCACGGAACCCCTCTGAGCCCCATGTTGATTATATAGGTCCACCCAACTCTAAGGTTATGTGGAATCTTTGAGGATGAAGAGCACTGTTTTACTAATGATGGAGGAGGAATTCAGCATGACATTGTGAAAAGTTTTTGGAGTCAAGTAGACTTTGGTTTAATGACTTGGTCTGGTAATTATTTGCTTTGTCACTTACCTTTTCTGGACCACCATTTCCCCATCTGTAAAGTGGGGATAATAATATCTACCTTACAGGAGTATTTTAAGGATTAGTGATAATAGTCTTGGGTGTTTATTATAATCCAAACAGATAATAAGAGCTAAATCAATTTGTTCCTATTATTAATAATTTATGTCTCTATACCTACTACCGTAGGAGATTTTGAATGTAGTGTTTTGTGGTTTTTTTTGTGGGGTTTTTTTTGGCAAAAAGAAAAATGAGCAGTATACTTAATCTCTAGGAGAGAAGGGGTCCTAGTTGGATAATGAGGTACTGCATCACCTCTGTCACAAGAGCCATTGTATTTAGTGCTATTTCAGCAGTATGGTATGGTCACAGTGAAAGTATCTTCTTAGCACTGCCACAAGGCAAATATGTAGATGCAGATACCACAGATTTTTTTTTCAAAATAATATAAATTTCTAATATTTTTATAATAGTTCCAGTAACTTTGCAAGGTAGAATTTGATATGAGAAAGTAGAGGTGGAGATGCCCATTGGTTTCTTGATGAAATCCAGTTTTTAGCATGAATGGCATCTGAGGTTCTTCTTGCCTATGCAGTGTCACCTCCCATCCTCCCCACCTTGGAGTGATAAGCTTGGCTAAACTCCTTATTCCTAGCATTTCCATCCTCTCCCTGCCTCCTCCCCACTGGGCCTTCGCACATGTTTCCGTGCCTCACTCTCTTCCCACCACCACTACTTGAAGCCAGGGAGGTTTGCTGAATGAATGAATGACTTTAATCATTATCAGAAGAGCCAATGTGCTTGTTAAGGGTCATTTAAGTATCACATGGCTTAAGAGCCAGTCGTGTAACCCTGTGCCAGGGGCCATTTAGGATGAAGTGAGGTGTGAGACATGGCATCTGTCCTCAAGGAACCCAGTGGTGAGAAAACACACAGACTGTCAAAACATAAGCAGACACAATTGGGACCAAATGCGCAAAAAGATGAGGGGCTTAAGGGTCCAAAGGGAATCGCTTTTTTACTGACAAATGATAGGCTCTTTCTTCTTGTGTGTGAGGTGCAGGACAGTGGAGAGCTCAGGGCGGTGGAGCCACACTCCCAGCCCCACTGCCTAGGGCTGTTTGACCTTGGGCACATTACTTAACCACTTGGTTTTCTCACTGGTAAAATCAAATTAATAATAGAACTTCCCTCATCAGGTGATGAGGATTCAGTGAGTTCAATATACAAAAAGCCTTGAGAGCTGTGCCTGGCACAGGAGAGTATTAGCTAGTTTATTATTCTTTCTCTTTTTAGAAGGAAACTAGAGCAAAGTAATTGTCTGCATAGTTCTCATCCTTGTTATTGTCAGCATCATTCACACTGAACAAGCATCCATAGTAAACCAAAGGGTTAGATTTAAAGTTGCAGCTGGTGCTCACTTCTAGGTGAGCCAGCATCCGCGCAAAACCTGCCAGCCTCCTTTTTACCTGTACATTGTCATCTCTTATCCTTTGTGTCTGTGTCTGTCCTTTTTCTGGGTGTCCTGGATAAGTGTGCAGAATTTCATCTGGCACGGTGTCAGCAGCGAACCTGGGCTATCCTGCTGAACTGTCCTGTTTCCTCCTCTGCAATCAGAAGGACTTAAATTCCCATTCTCAAGTTCTAAAAATAAACACCAGGCCACAAATAATTTCTGTTGCAGGAATGCTTTGAGACACCTTATGATTTTTTTTTTTAACCCCGAGCATAACTCTCTGATACAAATGATTTGGAAAACAAAGGAGAGATTTTATGAAATCTCATTCTAATTACTTTTGCCATTAATTAACTATGTTTTTGTTAAATTAGTTTGCTCTTCCTTGAGTGAACCAGAATGAGAATATCAACACTTGAGAAGGGTACCATCGGACATGGACCTATATGCTGCCAGAATTTTTCCCATCTAGAGTAACAGTGATAAATTAAAACAAGAAAATTATGTAAACATATATTATGTCATTACCTAACACCAAGCATGGGATGGTGACTACCTATTTTATATGTTGTTAATTCTAATAATTTCTTTGCGTGTAGTACTTTACTTTGTCAATTAATGCCCATTTGTAAATAAGAATATGCTTGAATTTTACTAATTTTTTTAATGCATATCTTTTTTATTGGTTATGAATATTCATGAGATATAAAGCTGATTGTCACCACTCGTGCCCAAGATGTGATGGCTAGATCCATGCTGGCAGTATTCCCATTACCACAAATTGCGATTATACCCCGTGTCCCCTACCCAATTATCCCCGACTTATTTTTCTTTACATGGGAGTAGACCAGCTTTAGTCAATCTGCTTTTGGCTATAGAAAACCTGAGGTCTTGGTTAGAAAAAAATTAATATAATGTTATTTTTAATAATAGAATTGATATTTATTAATTTTTTATTTGCTTATCTATATTATGACATTACAAGTGGTCATGACTATAGTTATGTAAAAATAAATATGCTATGACTAGCAGCTGAATTTCATTTTTAGTTGCCTTTTTTTTCTTTTGTAGCTTTTCACCTCTGGTTCCTACATCTGGATTGTAGCCATAAGTGGACTTGTAAGTGTGATTTCCCTCATACCACCAATTCCCTCTCTCTTCTGGGAAAAAAAAATTAAGAAAAATGTCATATTTACCTTGTGGGTCATTGGCTGTCTGGTTAGCCTCAGCTGGTTAGAGCATGTTGCTGATAACACCAAAGTCCAGGGTTTAATCTCTGCACTGGCCAGCCCCCAAAAATAAATAAATAAAGAGGAAATTGTAAACTGGATTGTGGGTCATATTCAACCATCTCCAACGCTCTTTTAACCATGTCAGGTCTGGCTCAGTGCTACTTCCTTAATGATTAAAAAGGTCCAGTCACATGGAAGGTCAAAGCAAAGGAAGTCAGTACCATTTTCAAGGTAATTTTGATGAAGATTTTAGTTGAGTTTGTTGTCTGTGGTGGTGTTTTAGAATTACATTAGTAGTCTAATTCATAGTAGAAAAAAGAAAGAAAATGAAGAAGTTGGATTTACTAAAAATAATGAGATGTTCTGCTTGTTTTGTAAGGTGACATTGTCACGCAAGGGAAAAAAATACGGCTGACTGGAAAGTCAGGTGGGTTGGGAGTGACAGAAGACTCATCAGAGTCTGTGGCTAGAGAAGCAAGAAAGGAATGGACCAAAGGATTCAGGCGTGTCTGCATTCCATGTGCTGTAGAACTTCATCTCATCCAACCCCATGCTATTTTATTTTATATTGATAATAAGCATGTGTCCTGAACTCTCTATAGGCATTTAAAAAGAAACTTGGAGCATGGAGTTTTATTCTTCATCCATGACTTAAATTTTAACCCTCACACTTATAAAGATAAATTTATAATTAGTTTGTATGGGGTATAGTTTTAATTTCTTTCTTGGAAAGACTAAGAAAACTACAGAATGGATTCATAATAATATGTATAACATCAAAGGGAAAGGATTTAGAAACAACTATGCATTCCATTGCAAACATTATCAGTAAGTTGCCACTATTTATCCTTGTTTCCTAGGTAAATGGCTGATATCTTGGGCCAACATGTCATTCTTTAAGCCTGCTCACCTCTCTTCTTCTTTGAAGCTGTCTGTATTATTCCTTTTCTGTGGTCATTCTTCTTATATAAAACTTGATCCTTCATTCCTTACAGCTGATATGCTTCCAACCAAAATTCTGGGGATCAAAATCAATTTGTTGTCCCCTCCCTAAATATTTTCTTATCTACCCAGATACCTGATGTGGTTCAGCACCATGGAGCTGAACCTCATTGCAAGACCTTCAAAGCACCTGAGCCATCTGGTATTCTTAAGACTTGTGGTGGCTTAGGGACATCCTGGGGTCAGACTGATTCCATGAGGCACAGTTGCCAGGTTCTCCATAGTCTAAGCCCATCCCCGCTTGAACTGCCAGCTTGATTGACAGTGACTTTACCAGCCTGAGGATGACAAATAGCTCATTGTTTTGATAATGAGAACTGCATGAATATTTACTGTTTCTTCCATGGTATATTTTACTTCTCTTAACAGTGATTGTCTTGAGTCCAAAAAAATATTTTGGACAATTTCCTAAAGTAATGAAAAAAACTGAAGTACTTTACTGTATGCTATTTCATCGTGTTAGTTTACTATAGATTTATTTACTGTCGATATCCATACCCTTCTTTAGTAATGCATTATGTGACTCATTTGTTTTAAAACATCCCATTTTCTTTCCTTTTTCTGTTTTTATCAGCACCGCACTCTCCCGAGTGAGCCACTGGGCCGGCCCTCCTTTTTCTGTTTTTAGACCTCTGGTTTTAAATTAAGTACTTACTGTCACCTCAGAAAGTTTCATTTTGTGACATTCAGTGTTCTAGAATTGGAGGTTGCATTTTTCATCTCTGTAGTCTTTTCTTTTCCAGTACTATGTTTAACAAGTAGTAAGGTGTCTGTTTTAACTTTTCTAAAGGAATTGGAAGTATAACAAAGATTTTTTTTAACATAAAAATGTTATGTTACCCTTCTTGTTTCAGAAGTGTGAACATAATTGCACTGTTTGGAATGTAATTCAACAATAATTTAGCATTTGAAAGAATCCCACTAGTGATAAACACTTCTGAGCCAATTTTGCAATTTTACTTTTGTAGTCATTGATTTAGTCGAAGTAATTGACCTCCTACTATGATCAAACATCTGATAAACCTTCTTTATTAACCTTGTTCTTTATTATTATTTATTTAAAATGATTGAGGGCTGGCCAGTTAGCTCACTTGGTTAGAGCATGGTGTTGATAACACCAAGGACAAGGGTTCAGATCCCTGTACAGGCCAGTCCCCAAATAATAAAAATAAAATAATAAAATGATTGATATCAATGGTAATCTTCCTCCATGCTATACCATAAATGTTGGTGCTTATTTTGAATGTCATGAATATTTTATGACTAGAAAATCCACAATTTTATTATGAAATACTTAATGTAATATGGTATATTTTAGATAAGGATGATTATAAAGGAGGATATTAAAATTATTTGTGAATGTTTGGTTAACACACCACTGACTATGGGATTCAAGTCTGAGATTCACAAAGCCACGGTTTGCTTATTCCAGATGTCTCTTGCTCAACATGACTTCTCTTCCCATGTAGATGAAATGACTTCCCCTTTTTTTGGATTTTGTACTAAATAAAATATTAAACAAGTAGAATTCTTTGTTACCAAAAACAAATGCACAGATGGTATTCAGTGTTTGGAGGGAATATTATAAAACCTGTTGATGAAATTTCACCTTTTAGCTTTGAAACCAGCAGTTCATCTAACATACTGTGTGTGTTCAGGAAGTAATTATATTTCAATAATTGGCAGCTAATGTGTTTTTTAAAAGAAAGAGCTTTTTAAAAAAAATATATTTGTGTAAAACATAAGTGATTTGTTATCTGCTATCATAGAAACCAAAAACTTAACTCATGCTTTTCTGGAAAGCTGCCAGCTTTAGATCGAGTTTATTTAATTTAGTTAGCTATTGGTTGATTTATTTTGGCTAAGCTAGTTTTTATCTCTCCTTGTGTCACTCATTCTTGCATGATTATAGATGTCTCTCAATATATAACTTTAAAATATCCCACTGATTAAAAGCAGAGGTTGATAAATTACATCTGTACTTTACTAGGTAAGAGCCTACTTTCTGTCTTCAGTGATGTCACATGTAAGGATGACAACTAAATTATTTTCCTGGGTTGAGGGAAAACAGTTTTTAGCATACCAGGAGCAATAATAAGTTAGTTTGCCTAGGACAGTTATCACTCTTAAATGCTGTTTTATGATCCATCAGAGATTCCAGTTGCAGCCCAGAAAGGGTGAAGGGCATTCAGTTGTGCTTAAAGATTACTTTGAGATCATTCACATGTATCATTGATAAATGTTTTTGTGTTGCCTTGTTTCTCCTTTGATAGTTCTGATTTTTAGTACAAACACTTAATATTTAAAATATGACTTTTCATGAAAGGTTGCAAAATTGTAATTGGAAAGCTTGGCTATAGAAGCCAAGCAGTATATTTCAGTTTAAGCAAATATTTCAATTTTTTTTGTAGATACCTGCTTCTGTCATTTTAGCACCAGTCATTTTCATTTGTTCTTCTTGATGTCTTTGGTGAGAGACCTTCAAAAATTGAGGCCACTCTTTATACGAGGGTACTTCAAAAAGTTCGTGGAAAGATGCGTATTATCTTTTAATTCTATTTTCCTATGAACTTTTTAAGGAACCCTCGTATAGTCACAATTCCACTAGTCTTCTTATTAATACATTCTTTTCCTTAAAGAAAGCATTGCTTACTTGTTGAACTTTATTATAATTCTTTTTGTGGTTCTGCAGAAAGCCTTTGAGCCATCTCTATCCCAGCACTTCTTCATTTTCTACACTTTTATTAGTCATAGAAATGAATCATTACCACTGGTGTGTACTCTAATTTTCAAAAGCTGAGGTCTCGGGCCTGATCTGATTCTGGCATGATTAAAATAGAAAGTTCCTGTTTTTGCCAATTTTCTCTTTTTACAATTCACATATTTATCATTATTTGGTTCTCTTTCAATCTATTTGAGAGTGAATTAACAAACAGGCATATGTTTTCAACATGTCCCTATACTGTACACATTTCCTGCATTTACTTGTTCTTTATGATATGTCAGACTTTATCTTATGATCAAACAACCTTAGTGTGGAAAAAAAGTCTGTTCTACCCAATAATAAAATTAGAAATGTAGATTGAAAGCAGATTATTGAGGACTTTGAATGTGGTGTGAGTTTGATTGTTTTCTGCAGACAGTGGGATCTTTAAAGCTTTCTGAACAAAAACACTTCACGATGGTGCAAGATTATAGACCTCTTACTGGGGTTTGTTAGTCATAGAAAGGAGGAAGGGAAAATGAGCCATGTGGAAGGAGTCTGGATGGCTTATTTGTGGGCTGTGATTTGCCTTTCTCCCCTCCACAGTAGTTTTAAAGACAGAAACAAAAAACAATGTCTTATAGTAACTGTGAAAAAATTGGAAATAATATACTGTGGAAATGTAAACTGCCTTTGGAGTAAGTTTTGAGGCACTGACCTGTTTCCTGGGTTATGGTTTGAATGTGTCTCCCAAAAGTTCATGTGTTGGAAATTTAATGCCCAGTGCAGCAATGTCAGGAGGTGAGGTCTTAATAAGAGGTGATAGAGTCTTGAGGGCTCAGGTGTCACGGGAGCCAGTTAGTTGTCATGAGAGTAGGTTGTTATAAAGTGAGTCCAGCCCCTGGTGCCTCTCTCTGTCTAGTGCATTCACTTCTGCCATTCTGCTGTGGGATGATGTGCACCAGATGCTAGCGGCATGCTCTTGGACTTCCCAACCTCCGGAACCATGAGCTAAATAAATTTCTGTTCATTATAAATTACCCAGTCTCAAGTATTCTGTTACAGCAACACAAAATGGACTAAGGCACTGGGTAAATGATAATGGTGTACTGGGTCCTCTGTGCTTTTTTCTCCTGCTTGTGCATGTCTTTCTCTTCTCTTCATGCTTCCTTTTTTTTCTG